TAAGGCTGCTCCGAAAATTCTTGTCATAATAGTTTTTGCTAAAAGTATATTGGAGCTCACGTGAAATATGCCTTAGTCTATCAAAACGTTTTAATAATATTCTTTTTCATTTATGTTAAGGTTATTCCGTCACGGCTCAAATACGTGGTTGCGTGATGAAGAATTGGTTTCGGTTTTAGGATCATGTGGCTGATAAAGAAGTGGTAAAATGATTTTAGCGCTACAGAAGAAATAATTATTAACACTAAAGTGCTTTGATTGGTTTTAGACGTGTATTATTAGCTGCCCGGACAGCCATCGCCCCGTCCAAATTTATTTATTTTTCTTTGTGTGAACTTTTTACGATTTTTTTTATAATCTGGGTAGCTTTTTCCAATATTTATTTCACTAAAAAGTTATTTAGATTTTTAGAACATGTAAAAATAGTCAATTAATATAAAAACGATAAAATAGTATTTATATCTGAGAAAAGTTGCTTGGAATTCTCGCGATTTCAAAGAAAGAAATGTACAAGCGATACTTGGTCCTTTGGAAGTTTAACAATGACAGAGGCCGTTCCGGATAATACGGATCCTTCCCAGAAGTCACCTAATGAAGGTAACATTTATGAAATACGATTGACTGTTTCATTGTGAGTGTGAGTAAGTGACTTGATCTTTTTTTCCAATTGACGTCATCCAAGTTGTATGGCTTGATGGTTCTTTACGGTCAAAATGTCAATTAAAGAAATGACTACTTATATCATTGAAATAATGTATTTGTATTATAGATTTAGGCATATACGACAAAGGGAAGATCTTTCACCGAGGTGGTGATATTGCTCGGTAGACCGTCGGTCCGAATGTTGTTGTTCGGAATTTGTATATATGTAAGCTTATTTTGAAAATGCCGTAAGCGAGATTCTGGTGGTTTTACTGATGGTAGGACCTCTTGTGAGTTCGAACGGGTAGGTACCACCACTCCGCCTATGTCTGCCGTGAAGCAGTAATGCGTTTCGGTTTGAAGGGTGGGGGCAGCCGTTGTAACTATACTGAGACCTCAGAACTATCTCAAGGTGGGTGGCGGCATTTACGTTGTGGATGTCTATGGGCTCCGGTAACCACTTAACACTAGGTGGGCTGTGAGCTCGTCCACCCATCGATACATTAAAAAAAATTAGTCAAAATCAAACTCGTGAAGATATGTAGACTCTTATGTGTTTGGAATATCACTGGTACTCCTCTGTAGTCGACGCATTATGTTATCATATAGTAAGATGTTATAAGCTGGGGCAATGCGTCTCTTGTCTTGTCCATTTTAACTGCGAATACAATTATACTACCACCCAGTGGACAAGATTCAATGTGGGTGGCATTTGCATTGAGTCCTCACTGAATAAGTGCACGATAATTGGCGGACTGTGGGATCTCCGCAATGAATTAAATTACTCAATAATATAAAATACATTATTTCAAATATAGGTCACGTCGACAATTCAGTGTATTTATTTATCAACCATTTTCTCTGGCGAACACGATTAAATAATTAAACAATAATAGTTAGGGTTGACAATGACAATTGAACCAAAATAATTTATCTATTATATCATCATCATCATCACTATCAGCCTTTATCTGCCCACTGTTGAACATAGGCCTTCCCCAATGCCTTCCACAGAATGCGGTCCTCCGCCTTCCGCATCCAACGACTTCTCGCCGTGCGCACTAAGTCGTCGGTCGACCTGGTTGGAGGACGCCCCGCGCTCCTGGTACCCATCCGTGGCCTCCATTCGAGGACTTTCCTTTCCCACTTGGCATCGCTGGCGATATTTTACGAAGACGGGACCGTGTTGTGCGGAACGAAGTCGTCCATAGGATCTGGTAACCGTATTAAGGGAAGTTGAGACAGTTTAAAAATTTACGGCATTAAATAACACAAGTAATAAAAAACACAGCCCTATTTATTTTGGCCGAATGCTTATGCATTCCGCTCCGTTATTCTCAGCTTAAACAATTTGGTCAGCCACAAAAACATCTACTAGGCCGAAAAATAAATATTCGAATTGAATTCGCGTAAATTTTTATGCAGATGTTCGCGGACGGATTTGATTAAAAAATAAATTGATTTTTTTTCGATTTAAAATTTAAAAGTTTTGTGCTTCTTTCATTCGATGTAGATTTTCCATGTATGTGAGGTTTTCTATTCAGGGTGGGCTAGTGAAACGGTTGATTACTTCACACAAACTTAATTTTTTATTTGGTATTAATCTATGTAACTAAAATTTATACGTCTTACGTCTTTAGAGTTACATTGCGTCTATCTGCCGTCGCATCCGGCAACTACCCTCCTCTCGCTTAAGATTTTTTTATTTTTTATTTTTATTGCTTAGATGGGTGTGGACGAGCTCACAGCCCACATGGTGTTAAGTGGTTACTGTAGCTCATAGACATCTACAACGCAAATGCGTGACCCACCTTGAGATATAAGTTCTAAGATCTCAGTATAGTTATAACGGCTGCACCACCCTTCAAACCGAAACGCATTACTGCTTCACGACAGAAATAGGCGGGGTGTTGGTACCTACTCGTGCGGACTCACAAGAGGTCTTTCCTACCACCAGTCAAAACTAAGTGTTCCGCATTCATTCACCGTCTTTCTTACTTCCTAACATGACATCTCCTATTTTTCTCACTCAGTCATGCTCCATATCTGTCATTCATCCATACCAGTCCATTTCTACATGTATTTTTAGAGTAAAATTTAGGAAAAGCTCGTACAACATACCAATATAAAATATCATCAAGACTAATAAATAGTAAAGGATATGCTAGAACCGTTTTGTTTTTGCGCATTTAGACGGCCGTCTGGTGTAGTTGTAAGTGACATGGTCACTACACAAGGGGGTCGCGGGTTCGAATCCCGCCAAGGGGGGATATTTGTATGATAAATATGAAATTTCTTTTCCAGGGTTATGGATATATATTATTATGTATGTCTATAATAAAAATCTTATATTTATTTCCGTTATCTGTTACACAAGATCTTTACGAACTTAGCACGGGACCACTGTTAACGTGGCGTGATCGTTAGTAAATATATATATATATATATTATTAATATATTATATTTATTTATTTATAAACTATTAAGGAACTTTACGGAAAAAATTAAAAGCTGTTTTAAGTCGTCACGGTAACGTTCAAATTCAATCGAGATCACCTGATTGCTTTAGAATACATCGCTATCAACACAGAGACGACGCCTTTTTTTTTTTTTGGCCGACGGTCTTATGACACGGGCAGTTAAAAGTTGTGTTATCTAAACTCTAGAAGCGACTAAACTAATGAATCCATTCACAAATATTTATGTCGAAAACTTTTTAATGTGATGGGCTATTTATCGTTAGATAAAAAATAATATACACATATACAGTTACAGAGTTGTTTCTGAGGTCTTAAAATGGTCGTTTCTCTAAATCAAGGGCGGAGGGCGGAATAAGTGATTTTTTAAATAAAGAGCTCACTGGGTTATTAACGGTGCTTTTAGGTACCACAAGCACCAGTCACCGTCCTCGTCGAATCCGTCGCTCGCGACGAAGGGCTCGACAAGTGAATTAACCCATAGACACAGCCCACTGAGTTTCTCGTCGGATCTTCTCAGTGGGTCCCGCTTCCGATCCGGTGGTAGATTCTGCGAAGCACTGCTCTTACTAGAGTCAGTGTTAGCAAAAAACCTGGTTAGAGCCCCGTGAGCTCGCCTACACGTCAAGGAGAAGCTGAAATAGCCTCTCAAGGCTATCAGCATAGGTAGGAAAAACAGTGCTGCGTTTTTGCGTACTTCTACCGCAAACTCGTCAATCATCCTTGGAGGGTAGGACAGCTGTTATAGAATACATTGGAGAATTTAACCTCGTTTTTCAAGGAGATTTGCGGCACCTTTTCAAACACTTTGAGTTCATATGACGTGATAATATGACCTATGTATCTGTTGTAAAGCTTACTGTAAATCTTGTCGCGTTACTACTACATATTTTCCGTTCTTGAAACGATCAAACAACAAAATTATTTCAGCGAAAGGATCAAAACCAGTTTCCAAGGTAATTTGAAACGTTTAAAAGAAATGCCCCATTCCGATTCCGACACAGAGACTCGGTAAACAAAGGGTTGTACCGCCCGCGGAGTTTGCAATTCATTAAAGTCGGAGTTGTCCCGGGGGAGCCGTGGCAATCTTAAACGTCGGCTTCAGGAACACGAGCAAGAAACATGCCTACGCTGTTTTGCCTCCTCAATCTAAAATATTTATAAGCTAGCGGCCCGCTCCGGCTCCGCTCGGGTCTTTAACAAAAACTATATTAGTAACATTAACTATAATAGTTAGACATATGCTGTCGCGACACTTCTTGTAAATAATAATGTGTTCTACAAAGTCGTAGTACATTATTTTATTCTGTTATCAATAGTTTTCGCAGGGCACGCGACGTAAAGAATATTTTAAGTATTTTTTTACACCTTGGGCTACATTATTGGAGTTTTAGTAAGGATCCTTAATTTTTCTCAAAAAAGATTATAACCTATGTCACTCGGGAATAGTGCAGCTTCCAAACAATAAAAAAAATTTTCAAATCGGTTCAGTACTTTCGGAGCCTATTCAATACAAACAAACTAATAAATCTTTCGTCTTTATAATATTAGTGTAAATAAATGTAACACAAAACCGGGTCTGTGATTGAATACACAAAACCCTCCCGGTGAATTACCGATCTGCCTATGTAAGGTTTGATGGGTTTTTTGTTTTGTAAGGAGGAAATCGCCGAACTTCCGCCTTCCGCTGGGGATGGAGGGCGGGGTATGTCGTAGTTGAACCTACTAAAACCTCCTGTCGGTCAACAACCAGCGTCCAAACCTCGCATGAGACAGAACTCATGAAAAGGCAAAGGGGGGAGAGTGAAGCGTTTGGTAATACTTTCAAATAAATGCAAGCCGAAATACAACCATATCCGTGTAGGCCGCTTAAAAACTTACCGGATCTCTTGGTGTGGTGCCCATAGAGACGGTTCAGATCCAATGCGAGTATGGTATGCGGGACAGCGCAGCTGAGAGCAGCAAGCGCAGCCACGCACGCTGCCACTCGGCAAGATGTCATTGCTGAAACAAACGAGATAATTTAGTAAGAATGGAAGGATGACGTTACCTTTGGAGAACAGAGTGGAATGGAGATAGCTTGCGTTGAAAGAGGCTGTGAAATAAAGGCGTCGTGGCCTAAGACTTCCGATGCGTTCGTATCTAGAGGTGCACCGGTGTTCGAATCCCGCAGGCGGGTACCAATTTTTCTAATGAAATACGTACCTACTCGACAAATGTTCACGATTGACTTCCACGGTGAAGGTATAACATGGTGTAATAAAAAACACCTTTTGTGAGTCCGCGCGGGTAGGTACTCATTCCTCGATATATATATACTTTTTTCCTACCTATGCTAATAGCCTTGACATGTAGGTTAGCTCACGGGGCTCTAACCGGGAGTGTTGCTAATACTGGCCCTAGCAAGAGCAGTGCTTCGCAGAATCTACCACCGGATCGGAAACGCGACCCACTGGCAAGATCCGGCGAGAAACTCAGCGGGCTACGATATAGACATTAAGATGTGATTGCCTGTATTTTTGTTTAACCCAATACGTTCAAATTCTATACTTCAAACCGGATGTGACTAAACCCAGATTTGCTGGGACAATCTATATATTAATACGTGAAGCAAAAACTTTGTATCCCTTTTTACGAAAATTGCGCGGACGGAGGAGTATGAAATTTTTCACACTTATAAAGAATATAGAGAAGAAGTGCACAATGCTAAAATTTTTTTTAAATAATGCATAAAAGATATATTAAATCAATAAAGAAAACATTACACACACTACATACCATGTATTTGACGCACACACGCATGCATACTATTTATTGTCAAACTTTTGTTCTTGACGTCTGTTGCCAAATTGAGATTAAATATTGTTTGTCTTTGTTATTATTTTTTATAGTATAGTCTTGGCGAAATTTGTGTTTATAGAAGTATAAAATACATTCATAATAGTGTACAAACTTACAATTCCAATTAATTATAGTCGAATTTCGACTACTGCGGGACCTCTAGTAAAAGTTAATCTTCGAACGCTCGTTAACAAGACGTAAAACGCACACGTAATTCATACTCACCTCGTTTTATTAATTATATAGAAGCTTGTTAAGTACCGAAGTTAGGAGCCAATGAAATATAACTTTACCAAACAATTTAACTAAGTTTATCTTCGAGTAACCGATAGTTTTGACCCGAGAAGTTTCGGGTCTTCTATTGTAGTAGAACGTACGATCCTAAAGGTTGTTAGGTGGGCATCAAAGTTAATTTACTCCGGTGGAAAAGCTTTCACTTATTTTTGACCGACTTCAAAAAATATTGACGTTCTCAATTCGATTGGTTTTTTGTGTGTGTTTGTGTATGTTAACTCCGAACTGTTTTCGAATTGAAGTGATTTTTATCAATATCAGATTAGTAATTTTTGATTTACCCTTAATAACGCATGTTTAATTGATTTCGACTACATCTGGACGATCTCACAGCCCACCTAGTGTTAAGTGGTTACTGGAGCCCATAGACATCTACAACGTAAATGCGCCCCCCATCCTGAGATATAAGTTCTAAGATCTCAGTATAGTTACAACGGCTGCCCCACCCTTCAAACCGAAACGCATTACTGTTTCACGGCTGAAATAGGCAGGGTGATGGTACCTACCCGTGCGGACTCACAAGAGGTCCTACCACCAGTAATTACGCAAATTATGCTTTTGCGGGTTTGATTTTTATTACACGATGTTATTCCTTCATCGTGGAAGCCAATCGTGATCATGAATTGTTGAGTACGTATTTCATTAGAAAAATTGGTACCCGCCTGAGATTCGAACACCGGTGCATCGCTCAACGCAAAACGTGATATAGTTATTGGTATTTGAAAATCTAAATTTAGAGTTAAATCTAAATGCTTACAATAAGAAAATTAAAATCATAGAAGCCTAAAAAAAGATGATGTAAGAGAAACACCAAAATAAGAAACAAAAAGCCGATACCTTTGCATTAATACATTACTGGGGATATAACCCAAGGAAGGTTGACGTCAGGTAGAGGACCGGTTATAAAAATCAAGCCAAATCGCTATGCAGCATGATAAGAGCACATGCTACGTGGACCCTATATACGTGGGATAAGGTCAGGAAGAAAATTCACTTAAATATTAACACACGTGAATATTAAACCAAAACGTAAACGTTTTTCCTAAGTCAGAAGCGAATTCTAGTGTATCTAACACGAATCACAAACTTTCATTTAAATAAATCATTAACCGTGTATAAAGTAAAAAAAAATATACCTATACAAATAACTAGCCGTACTCGCCCGCTTCGCTGCGCATTTAAAACTAACATTATTATTTATTGTAATTATTATTAGGGAGTCCAACACTCATATAAATATTAGCCTATCCCTTAAGTACATGTATTTTCTACATGAATACCAAGTTTGAAGTCAATCGGATGCATGGTTCAGTAGTTACTAGCCGTACTCGCCCGCTTCGCTGGGAATTTAAAATTAACATTATTGTAATGTAATGTAAAGCTTTCCTTCTTTGAGAACGGTTAGCTGGTAGATAACTCAATTGTTGAGTTAAGCTCGCCATTTTTTTTATATCTTATCCCAATTACTGTATTTTATTAACAGTGTGTACAAATAAAAATAAAAAAAAGAATAAAGAATTATTAGTAGGGAGTCCAGCACTCATATAAATTAGCCTATCCATTAAGTACATATATTTTCTACATGGATACCAAGTTTCAAGTCAATCGGATGCAAGGTTCAGTCGTTATAACGGAACATCCGTAAAAACACTGTACATTTATATATTAGTATATATATAAAACCAACGAACAAATTACATACACGAAACTTCAGTACGCAAAAAGGCTTTTAATTTATCATATCGTTGTATAATGGAGGCGGGGTGGAAAGGAAAAATGTTCTATATATTTCAATGTCGTAATAAAAACGGAGAAATTACTTAGGGAAGGAAGTGAAATTGAACTGGGTCGGGTACGGGTATGGGTTAGGGTTCTACCGACAGTTCTTGACTTCTATCTAACGAATAGTCTTATTAAAAGCAGCCGTGAATAGTCTTTCATGCTAGGCAGACGAGCTTAGGGCTCGCTTCAGGTACTTTAAGACCACGACGACACTATGAATATTTACAAATTAAATCTACAAATTTAACAGCGGACGGTTAGCATAGTATGGAGATGTGATGCGTAGAAAGAAGATGCATTTGACTAGGAGATGTATGGAAATGGTAGTGCAAGGTAGAGGGGGAAGAGGTCGACCGAAGAAGACATGGATGGAGTGTGGGAATGACAATATGAGAGAGAGAGAAGATATCCTACCATCATTTGTTAAGCGCTGGACTGTAGACCATCAATCATCAGATGAGCAGAGATCAGGAAATTGTTGCTGTTAGGGAGTATTGTGTGCGTAGCAGTCATACAACGCGGTGGGTTCAACTCATGTCTCAAAGTGGGTGGCCGAGTTTGTCTTGTCACATTTATAGGCTTTGGTATAAGTCTCTCTAAATAAGCATCATTTTCATTTGAAGATTCACTATCAGTTTTGAGCAGTAGAGAAACGACGGGATTGGAAAAATGAGTTTGGATTTGGAATATTATGACCCGATTGCAGTTTTTTTTATCCAACAATAGTATCGTCCGGCCATTCATAACAAAACATTTTATTATATTCCGAATAGCTCTACAATTTTGATACCATGATTTTTATATAAATATTGATAGGGCTCGAAACATAAATACATATGTATGTACGTATGTAGTATGTATGTCAGTCTCTAGTACCATAACACTGGGAATCCTAATTTAGGACTGGATGACCGTGCGTGATTTGTTCTCAGTTATAATATATTCGAAATACAACAAAAGGTAATATTCACTAAAATAATAGCAGACTAGTTTCATAATAGACAAGTTTCTGTAAGTCCAAAAAACATTTTTTTTTTTTAGCTATGTTGATAGCCTTGAGAGGCTATTTCAGCTTCTCCTTGACGTGTAGGTGAGCTCACAGAACTCAAACCGGAGCGTTACTAACACTGGCCCTAGCAAGAGCAGTGCTTCGCAGAATCTACCACCGGATCGGAAACGCGACCCACTGAGAAGATCCGACGAGAAACTCAGTGGGCTGTGTCTATGGGTTAATTTACTCGTCAAGCCCTTCCTCGCAATCAACGGGTTCGGCGAGGACGGTGACCGGTGCTTGCGGTACCTAAAAGCACCGTTAATGGATCGGGAGGATCCGTAATGACGTGTTTAGGGCACCTTGAATATTACTATTATATATGACAGCTACATGGACTAATCTCATACTTTTCTGAAAAATAGGTTCGACAATTGTTTGCCTCGATGTGATTTAAACTCCAATGACTGTGTCTAATATACCTAAACCCAAACTCCGCCGAGTCACATAGCCTTAATGTCCTCTTAATTACCGGATAACTTATAACGCAGTTAACTTTCCCATTCAGAATATAACTCTGGATCAAGCAAACTCCTCCAGAAGCACTTCAACTAACTTAAGTATAATTAATAACCACATATTGACCAAGTTAAACCGCGTTATGCGTGCCAATCTAACCCCACGAGTTATAATTAGTTTGAGAATTAACTAAAGAGCGGTCGGCACCGTTGATTTATTTGATGGCTGTCTATAAGAAGCAGTAAACTATGTGTTTATTGTTCTAGTATTAATAGAACGATTTTTATGAGGTGTTCATTACTTTCAGGGTGACAGAGGGGAAGTGGGAAGGCAGCGGGAGGAGGATGCGCCCGCGGCTCAGGATGAGCTCCCCTCCAGGGTGTTTCCCGAGCGCTATGACATGATCTTCTTTAAAAGAGGCTTGTGGAGAGTATTAAGCGGTAGGCAGCGGCTTGGCTCTGCCCCTGGCATTGCTGAAGTCTACGGGCGACGGTAACCACTCACCATCAGATGGCCCGTATGCTCGTCTGCCTACAAGGACAATAAAAAAAAAGATTCGCATTCGTTGACCAGCGGG